ACTGTAAATAAACCAACGGGCGAAAGAAACGATACAAAATTTACTTTGATAATTTGGACTTCAATCCTTAATGTACAGTGACTAAACGGACTTGTTATTGTTGCCACTCCAATGAAATGACTGAGTCAGTCTGAGTCCATGTTGCCCATACACCTGTTTTTTTTAAAATTCACTGTCCTTTTTCACAATGGTGGTTTGTTGTTTTGTAATTTCAGTGATTTCGACTTGGTATCGTTTCTTTTGCCCGTTAATTTAGTTCTCCGATGGTGATGTATTGAACAACATGTATCAAGTGGCATTTGGGACCTTGGATTTGCAGACATTCGGCCATTGTAGTCAGCTTTGTAACATTAGATAAGTTTTGTAATATTTTAGACCAATCGAAGTTTAAAGTGTTTTGCTTTAGTCGCAAAGTAGTTTAGTTTTGGGCTTACAAATCTTAATAAAATATTACAAGCACAAGTAATGTGATGTCCACATTCCTTTCCACTCAGTATGACAGGTACGTAGCATCCATGCCTGAAGCAAACTACACTTTAGCTGTTCTATATTATGCCCTGATTCAATGCTCAACCTTCACCTTGGCCCCTTCAAAGACATGGTTCTCTTCAAAGATATGGTTCTCTTCAAAGACATGGTTCTCTTCAAAGACATGGTTCTCTTCAAAGATACGGTTCTCTTTAAAGATATGGTTCTCTTCAAAGATATGGTTCTCTTCAAAGATATGGTTGGTTGACTTTCCGACTACACACGTAATCTTTGTTTATGATGCTCTCGACAGTTTGCGTCATCGAAGGCTCCCTTGACTCGCATCAATGCCCGAGGTGTCATGACCTACTTGTGCAATCAAACTTGCTAAAGACCTGTGAAGATCCAGGTTAGAAATTGATCTTCAGCAACCCATGTTCTAGATGTTTGATAGGCATTTAGAAGTTGGTAGGGTAATACAAGGCACTTGATATGGATGTGCAACTTCTTTATTTTTACACACGACGTTACTAGGCCAATACTTGCTCCTTCATCAGGTGAATTACGACGTTTCTGGGCTAATGCCTGCCTCTTCATTAGGTGAATGAACGTCGTGTGTAAATAATAAAGACGTTGCACATCCATATCAAGTGTGTTGTATAACCAATGATCTATTCCGAATATTTAATATATACAATACCGAAATTTGCAAGATTGATAATATCGCAGCAACAGAATGACATTCTTGAAAGTATCAATGTTTGAAAGGTAATTTCGCTCAATGGTATAACGGATAGGACATGTTTTGAGCGAACCGATCCATTGACAATGTTTCGAGTGAACCGATCCATTTACAATATTTAGTTAACGATTATCGATCTCTGTTATCTATATCGAAAGCCAGCCCTACAATAACAACTAAACTGAACACCTAACCCAACAGGAAATGTTTATGATAATTATATAACTTGGCACAAACCACAAACTTCGATTGTGAATTATGATTGCTTGGATGGTTTGTTGTTTAATGCTGCATTCAGCAATATTCCATCTATGTGGCAGCGGTCTATGAATAATCGAGTCTGGGCCAGACAATCCAGTGAACAACAGCATGGGTATCGATTTACGCAGATGGGATACGATGACATGTGTTCCGAGCCTGACCATTCAATGTCGCCAGTCGCCTTTTACGACATGCATGGGTTGAAGAAGACAGTTCTGACCCGGGTCTTCATGGGTTTGTGAATTTTGACAAACACACGAAGGGCTATATGACGATTTAATAATCTGAGACAGTGTTGAACAAAGTTGAACAGCAGTCAGCTGATGGTTTTGTACACTACAGTGTTTCCACCGGGAACTGGAACACTGCGGGATTCTTGAAACAGGCCCGGGGAACGGGTGCCTGAGTCGTCTAAAGCACCGCAGAGTTGTGTCCATATGATTATGGTTTCGAATTCCGGTTCGCCCCGATTTTGTTTCCAGGTTTTGTAGGGCCATATCCGTGATTGCGGTTTATGCCAAGATGGCAAACCTCTGAGACATGCATTGTTTCTGGCTTTACTCCACATTAAGCTGATATGTTGTGGTAATAAAACTAGATAAAACTCATTCAACAACTCACTCAACCAGCCACTCAACCATTCAAACACTCAACCATTCAACCACTCACTCAACCAGCCACTCAACCATTCAAACACTCAACCATTCAACCACTCACTCAACCAGCCACTCAACCATTCAACCACTCACTCAACCGCTCATCCAACCACTCATTCAACCACTCAACCATTCAACCACTCACTCAACCAGCCACTCAACCATTCAACCACTCACTCAACCAGCCACTCAACCTTTCAACCACTCACTCAACCGCTCATCCAACCACTCATTCAACCACTCAACCACTCATTCAACCACTCACTCAACCAGCCACTCAACCATTCAACCACTCACTCAACCGCTCATCCAACCACTCACTCAACCACTCAACCACTCATTCAACCACTCATTCAACCACTCATTCAACCACTCATCCAACCACTCACTCAACCACTCATTCAACCACTCACTCAACCACTCATCCAACCACTCACTCAACCACTCAACTACTTACTCAGCCTTTCAATCAACCTCGCTCAACCACTCACTCAACCAGCCACTCAACCACTCACTCACCCATTCAACCACTCACACAACCACTCACTCAACCACTTACACAACCTTTCAACCAACCTCACTCAACCACTCACTCAAATGTGTACAAATATGTGTCCTGTATTTTCGTCTGCATGTAAACTAATGATGCACATTATATATTTATTTATCTACAAAGTGACACACACAATTAACAGGTTCCAGGTGACTACTAAACCGAAGCATGAACTACGAGGAAGATCCTGAAGGGTCTGGACTCCAGTTCTGGACGAGAGACTTCAGGACTGCCCCAGTACCACGCAAGACAGAACGTCCGGAGGTTGCACCTGGACAGGAGTGGACAGACCCCAACTTCGATAAACCGGCGATAATAAAAGTTGATGAAACTGCGCATCTAATAGAATGGAAGAGATCATATGTGAGTATTGTCTGCAACTATTACCTCGTAGCTCGACACCTGGCTTAAAAAAAAATTAACATCGCTAAGCATATCATCCTGATGGGCTGATGTTTGTTTCGTTTCAATTGACCATTCATAGATTTCCTAATTTGGTGTTCCATGAATGAAGATGGCGATGGGTTTGCTAACTTTTGGTGGCAGTCATATCAAGGACTGGTTATCGATATAGATAATACAACTCGATAATCGTCAACTATATATCGATCGATTGTCAATAAATGACGTAACTGTGAGCAAAAATGCCATAAATGTCTGATGGAATTGAATATATTTCACGTCACTGGCGCGTGGTACATGATTTTGCATGAATTATAAACAAAACAGATTCCTATACATAATTTGGAAGCAGGCAATGAATAAGGTCCTCAAACTGGTTGATGGTGTGAGAAAATGAAATCTTTCACAGAATGTAATGTATGACGACAACAGTGACATACATGCATGCATCCATCCATCCATCCATCCATCCACACACACACACACACACACACACACACACACACACACACATACATACATACATACATTTACCGATTGCTCTAATATTGCAGAGTGCGGCGTCAAACTAAACTCATTCATTCACTGAGTAGTGCGTCAATACCTCAGACAAACTGAAACTTCATATTTCATTCACAGGAAGGAGTATGATACGGTGAACCATATAAACGCCTTAACTCACCTATGCATCTTACTCCAATGTTTTGTTTTAAAAGGAGATTGTCCCGGACCCTGTGCTGTTTCATGACGATGCTTGCATAGAAGATATCAACCAAGGCACGTTTGGAACATGTTGGTTCTTGTCCATGTTGGCAAACCTTGCCGAAAAACCGAAACTCATGAAAAAAGGTATCTCTTGGTTTTACTTGTATTATTCAGCACTGTATACTATAAGAAGTGATAGGTATGCAAGTTGAAATATATTTCGGTGTAACGTCGGTTGAACCAAAGTTCCCTAAACTAGCTCGTCTAGCCTGAGACAAGCGTGCTGATATACCATTGCTCCATCACCGTACATTTCCACATGACCGCATAGTCTCACACGTTATCTCATCGAAATTAGGAGGATTCTCCATATTGTGTTCTAGGCTTATTTTCATGTGTGATGTATCGTTCAGAAGAATCCTTGTTATGGGTTGAAGTAAAGAAGTAACATGTCAACGATATGAAAAGATATTTGAATCTGAATTCTAACACAACCTCATATATAGGCTTTCTAAAATGTGATTCCCAAAATCATTAATTGGCAGATCGATGCTCATGCTGTTAATCACTGGATTGTCTGGCCCAGATTATTTGCAATATAGCTGGAATATAGCTGGAATACTGCTGAGTATGGCGTTTAAACAACAACCAACCAATGCATACACGGGGTTTCTGATCTGATTGTATGAACCAGATATACTATACCATTCGTCCAATAACAAAGGTTCCTTCTTGCATTACAGACCGCCTCCGTGGTGTAGTGGTTAAGGCGTCCGCCCGGAGAGCGGAAGGTCGCGGGTTCGATCCCCGACCGCGTCATCCCAAAAGACGTTAACATATGGTACTTGTTGGTCCCTGCCTGGCGTTCGGTATTATTGGGTACAACAAGGACTGGTCGGCTCGGAGTCAGTATGATGTGTCTGAGTGGGGCATTCATGCTTCACTGCGGCATGGTATCTAAAGCACTATAAAACCAGCTTCAGTCTGCATGGTATCTCAGTGCAGCCGCACTTACACATACACACGCATGCACGTCGTCATATGAGCGAAATATTCTCTAGCACGACGTTAAACCCAATTTCACCTCACCTCTTGCATTACAACATGAACCAAACCAAACCAAATAAACAAGGTCTCTACAGTTGGTCATATAAACGTGTTCATTATGAACGTAATTTACTATATTTGAAACAAATTGATACCATTAAATTTCAGGTGATTGACAAGAATGCCTTCAAGCCTAAGACAGACGGAATCTTCCACTGCCGACTGTGGAGGTTCGGGGAATGGGAGGATGTATACACTGATGATATCCTGCCTGTAGTAAAAGGAACAAATGAATTATTTGGAGCTCAGTCAAAATCAGGAACTAACGAAATGTGGGTTTCGCTGATGGAGAAGGCTCTTGCAGGGTAAGTCAAAGATGTGTATGATGATAACTGTTCTTGAGATCTTGTCGAGGCATTCAGATGATGGAAGAACATGTAGACAAAAAACGTTAATGGATAACATCTAGGACTGGTTTTCGATATAGATAATAGAAATCGATAATCGTAGACTAAATGTCGATCGATTTTCGATAAATATCGGATACGTAGCTTTGAACAACACTGCCAAAACATGTCTGAAAGAAATGAAAATAGTTCACATCACTTGTGAGTGGTGACATGGTTTTGCATAGATTATTAACAAAACAGCATCCTGGACATAATTTAGAAGCAGACTAATTTGATATATTCTGAGAAAAAAATAATTTAATTTTTTTTTCTAACACCAAATATATATACGATATTCATGAGAGCACACATTTTCATATCCATAATCATTGATAATATTCCCATCGACGATATTTCGGATTATCGATAATGTTAGCCAATCCTAATAGCAACTTCTTCTAAAGTTTACAGCAACGTGCCAGGCCTGATCTTTTCTTGATCATTGAGTGCTACCACTATGTTCCCTCGGATATCCGAGATTGATTGCCTCTGGCTTATACTTGCAGACAAAAAGAATTAAAGGCAAAACAATTATGGATGTCAACGTCTTATGTTGATGAACACGATGCTTCGGGATATGTTGTTACTCCTTCATTAAACATTTATCTGGTAAAGGATTAAGAATATATCCCGAAACGTTGTTTTCCTCAACCTAAAGAAGTTCACATATACTGTATACATAATGTTTCGCCTTTATGTTTGTCACTTCTAAATGCCTTTAATAAAAGTTGTTCGATAAACGTTTAATATCTTCATTGACATGAAGGATGCATAGCAAAACCATAACCACATTTAAATTCCATGTTGGAGCATTCCAATTCTATATATGATTATTTATTGTATACTCTTACCACTGTACCTGGATGTTCACTGTAGCTTGGATGTTCACTGTACTTTGTATGTTCACTGCACTTTGGGTGTTCACTGTACCTTGGATGTTCACTGTAGCTTGGATGTCCACTGTACCTTGGATGTTCACTGTAGCTTGGATGTCCACCGTACCTTGGATTTTCACTGTAGCTTGGATGTCCACTGTGCCTTGGATGTTCACTGTAGCTTGTATGTTCACTGAACCATGGATGTACTCTGTACCTTGGATGTTCACTGCAGCTTGGGTGTTCACTGTACCTTGGATGTTCACTGTACCTTGGATGTTCACTGTAGCTTGTATCTTCACTGAACCATGGATGTTCTCTGTACCTTGGATGTTCACTGTACCTTGGATGTTCACTGTAGCTTGTATGTTCAGTGTACCTTGGATGTTCTCTGTACCTCGGATGTTCCCTGCAGATTGGGTGTTCAGTGTACCTTGGATGTTCACTGTACCTTGGATGTTCACTGCACCTTGTATGTTCACTGCACCTTGGATGTTCAGTGTACCTTGGGTGTTCATTGTACCATGTTCACTGTACCTTGTGATGTTCATTGCAACTTGAATAATGAAACTGCTGAACATACTGATCCCCCTGGAAATATATATTTCAACATATATTGGTAACCTTCGCCCAATATGTAGGTTCAATATACTTATTTTTATATGCCTCAGTATGTCTTTTTGAACAGATGTCACGACTCGTACAAAGTTGCTGAAGGAGGCATGCCAAGTGATGCCTATCTAGCATTGACAGGAGGTGTGCCAGAGACGGTAGTGATGAAATACACCAATCACAGCGTCCTGTTTCAACGTATAGTCAATGCACTGAAGTGTGGAGCCTTTGTGACTTGCTCCACGAAATCAGTAGGTTCCTTGTTTCTATGTCTTGACTTTCACATGGCAAAGTCATTGTATATGTTCTTAATTCTTATTTGCTTGTCTTAAGAAGTGGCCAACGAGATTGGGTGATCAGGCTCGCTGACTTCGTTGACACATGTCATCGTATCCATATTGCGTAGATCGATGCTGATGATATTGATCACTGGATTGTCTGGTCCTGGCCTCCGACATGTAGCTGGAATATTGCTGAGTGTGGATTTAACCAACAACCAAACCAACCATCTTAACTCTTACGATTTCTTTGTAAATGAATACCAACTAGTGATAGCATCAAAATATGTACTATATGTAACTATACTTGTGTTTATCATGTGTTATCTTTCATGAACCAAAAGCAGTTTGACAATTTGTGAATGGCATAGGTGTGTACCTTTGCTGAGATATTTAGTAAATGTGGAGAAATAATGAATAATAAAAAACTCCGGTATAAAACATTTCCTGCAACTTCCAGGGCACGTCATCATCAAACGGAATAGTTCCAGGTCACGCCTACTCTCTGATTAGTGCACATGAGGTAAATATGACTAGTGGCTGATTCATGATGACAGATGTATATACAAAAACGTGTTATCACCAATGCGTTGATTCCGGGGCAGAGATAGTGATGAGAAAATCTGATTAAATTTGATCCATTTGTCAGACTCGGTGATTCAATTGATTAAATGCGATCCAGTGTCATGAAAACATGTCATGAGTAATTATCCTTATTGTGTGATCCAGGCTGGATTAGAGGCTGCCATTATATATTTGTTATAAAGCAACATTCATTCGTCTCACCCAGCAGCCATGCCACCGCGTCGGGCTATTATCCTTTAGAAGATCCGGGTCAGAATTGGTCTTAAGCAACCCATGTTTGTTGTAAAGAAGCGAGTAAGGGCATCGGGTGGTCAGGGTCGCTGACTTTGTTAACACATGTCATCGTATTGTCCCAATTGTGTAATCGCGTAGATCGATACTCATGTTGTTAATCACTGGATTGTCTGGTCCAAATGGTTTAAACATTAAACCAGCCAACCAACTCACAATATAGTCAGAATGGTACATTTTACTCTGTTTTTAGCAGAGATTCTGTTATAGGGACTAATTCAGGACAGCCATCGTCCAAATATTTATAAAGTCCAAAACTATGTACTCAAGACATGTGAGACTTTATTGTAATATATATATGACGCTAAGCTGTATTTTTAATCACTACTGTACATCCTTATCACTACCGCATTGTAAATTGACTTGTCAGCCCATTAATTATTGTATAAGACATTTATAACCTTCATCGGTAATCCCCATCGGTGTCTGCCATCACATCAACTGGTCAAGGAAGTGCTATTGTTTTTCTGTCTGTCCATTGATGAGTCATCGCCTGTCCATTGTTATCAAAAACTGTATATATATACTTAGTATGCCTACATCTAGACACAAAAAGGGTACGAGTCTGGTATTCCGACTGTTTGTGTTGGGACGACCACGAGCAGGATAATGCCGCCCGTAGGAAACGCCCTGGGGTTGAGCAGGAACTCCGCTCACCTAATTTATGTCTTGTGTATTGTCTGTCATGTAACTAAAGAAGTTTGAGCTCAACGTATTCTTTCGTCTTGTCAACGTATTGTACCTACACTTCGTCTTAATTCCGAGCTAATTCCCCAGTCGACCACATACCACGCGTTGACAATTCCAACGGATGTGGAATACGTTGTGTCTTTTCTACTTACATAATTGGCGAAGATAAGAAACACCATGTTATAACATAGCTACAAAGCAACACTGGACCTGAAGCTTGTAATACTAATTTTGTATCACTCATCACATCACAGACTATGAGGAAGACACTCACTCACTCTAACTTCGTCTTCTTTTTTTCAAAGATAACGAAAAAGAACGGGAAGAGGGTTTTCCTCTTGCAGATGCGCAACCCATGGGGGTCGGATGAATGGACAGGGAAGTGGAGTGACAAGTTGGTATTTTATGAGATATTTGATTCCGGATTTCTTTGTTTGCATATTGTTTACACTTAACCATTGACCAGCTATAAGAGATTGGTCTGTAAATAATTCATACAATCCGGTGATGTTTCTCGGGTGTGTTCCAACAACATACGAAAGCGTTCGAATTTCACCAACATTTCACATACATTTGTGTTCAATTATGACAATATGTGATCGGCTGTTTCGACGTTTGGTCACTGGGCTCAGTCTTCGATTATTTCATTTAATCTGAACTGCATTAGTGCGTTGCACATAATATTCAAACACTGTTTCCATTAAAAGGAATTGAACACACTTGGATATACAGTATTCACCCTTTGGTGTAATGATAGTGAGTTAACTGAGTGAGTGAGTTAAAATTTATCGTCACATCGGCAATATTTCAGCCATATCGTGATGATGCAATGATAACATTTGATAAAAAACTATGAGATTGAGACAACTGTCAACAGATAGCCGTTTATCTATTAGGTGACCAATGATGTATTGCGAAACAAGCATCTACTAACATTTAGGGCTGACCATCGATATGGATAATAAAGATCAATAATCAACTAACTATCAATCGATCATCGATAACTATCAGAGGCGTAACTTTGAGCAAAAATGTCCGGAAGTAATTAATATATTTCACATTACTGGGGAGTGGAGACATGTTTTTGCATGGACTATTCACAAAATGGCGCCCTGAGAAACGGGCCATGAATAAAGTCCTAAATATTTGTATATTTTGTGAGATTCTGTCACATAAGCTAATAATCAATATTATGGATAACACAATTTCATATCGATAATGTTTATTATATTTCCTATGACATTTCCGATAACCGATCATTTTGGCAAGCCTACTTACATTGTTCTTCAATTCCTTTCATTTCCATTTTGACTCAGTTTTATTATTTACACACGTTGCCATGGTTTCCAGGAGTCCTAATTGGAAGAAGTTAACGGATTTGGACAGGCAAAACCTCTTAGAGGACAAAGAGGACGGGGTGTTCTGGATGGCACTGCGAGATTTCAGAGAGATTTTCTTCATAACGACTGTGTGTTCTCTAACCCCCGATTTCGACATCAATGGACAAACCGAGCAGTTACGTAAGTTTCAAGACATTTGTAAAAATGTTTTCCATCTTAATTACTCATGATCATGGTTACCTATCCTAATTTAGTAATTTCCTAAATTGATTCCACACATGATTACCAGTCGTGCTATTGCTGGAGGTGAGGTGAGGTGAAATTGGGTTTTACGTCGTGCTTGAGAATATTTCGCTCATATGACGACGCGCTATTGCTGGAATATTGCTAAAAGTGGCGTAAAACATACTCACTCACTCTTTTAATCTTTCAAAGATTACGTTTTGAGGATATTCGGGGAGTGGAAGGGAGGTTCCAGAGATGATGAATCCGATGCGCAGATACTCCAAGACAATCCAAGACTGGCATTCACGGTTCCTCATGAAGACGGCTTTCAGGGTATGGTATGGGACATGTGCCAATAAATTATAAGTTTTATAATCATATGAAAAATATGGCGAATAATTTTCTAAGTTTAATTGTTTGATCGACAAGTTGGTGAGTCAGTAATGAGCATACAACTTTTAGATGACAGTTTCCTGTATATATTTCTTCTATATATAGTCCGACGTTTCGGTATAAGAATCTATACCGAAACGTCGCTCTCTGCAATAAAACAGAAATTGTCATCTAAAGGTTGTATGCTTCATTACCTTTTACTTTGGCGGATGAAGCTTGTAATGACAAATGTATTTAAATAAATCGAGAATAAGCAGTCTCTATAACCTGGTAAAAAGAGATTTCAATGGACGTAAAAGTAAAAATGCAGTGAAAAATATGTGAATGGATAACTGACACTCATTGCTAACACCAGGTGTTCGTGAACCACGCATAAAAAGACGTTTTTCCTTATGTTTCTGTCTGTTTGTTTGTTTGTTTTTGTTTGTTGTTTACCTCAGCAATATTCCAGTTATCCAGTCAAACCAGACAATTTAGTGATTAACATGAGCATTGAACTATGCACTTTGGATACGATGACATGTGTCAACCAAGTCAGCGAGCCTGACCACCCGATCCCGTTAGTCTCTTCTTACGACAAGCATGGGTTGTTGAAGACAATCTTCAGGAGTCGAAAGATGTTTTGAGAATTATGGTGATGATGGAGAATCACCAACGATTACGAACATATATAACAGTAATGAAAGATGGCATGAAAGATTGCCATACTCTCATGTATCACTCACCTTGGATAAATAAATCGCTGCGTTGAATATTTCTTTAAGTTTCGCAAAGTGCGACAAAACTACAAAGACCCGTCTCGGATCCTAAAGAAATTATGTTTTGTTTATGTTATCTTCACAAGGCAACACGATCCGAGAAATGTTTGTTTTGAAAGAGATCCGGGATACATCTGAAATCTCGAACCGTGTATGTATAGCTAATCTCGAACCATGTGTGCGTCTGTAAACTCGAACCATATAATCTAAAAGCATGTTGAGATCGTTTCGTTGAACGACTGCACATGACAGAAAAATTTCATTTGAGTGTAATTTATGTTCATTGTAGTGAAGCCAGATCGTGACAGTACGTATGTGTTTATTTAAATAAGTTTGATGATTTCTTCTGATTCTCAAGGCGGTGGGGTGGCCTAGTGGTTAAAGCGTTCGCTCGTCACGCCGAAGACCCGGTTTCGATTCCCCACATGTGTACAATGTGTGAAGCCCATTTCAGGTGCCTATTTCTAATATTACTTGAATATTGCTAAAAGCGGTGTAAAGCACACTCACTGACTTACTCACTCTTATTCGTAGATTCTGTACCTATCGTCGTCCACATCATCCAGCGAGCTGACCGTGGGGATGAAATGTACAACATTCAATGTAATCTGTTCAAGGTAGGTGTACAATGACATAGCCAGTGGCAATGAAATGTACAACATGCCTTGTCATCTTTGGAAAGTAGATGTACAATACGGCTGACTAAAATGATCAATAATTGAAAATATCCTCGATAGGAAATAGTTTTTACGATTATCGAAACGAAAATTGAATGTGTCATCGATAACATCGTATATCAACTTTTTGATAGAAAAAAGTTTAATTATTTCACACAATATACTTTTAGGACTGTATTCAAGGCTTGCTTCTAAATTATTTTCAGGACGCTTTTTGTTAATAACCCATGCAAAAGCATGTCGTCACTTACCAGTGATGTAAATTATATTAATTTTTTCAGACATTTTTGCTCAAATCTACGTCTCCGATATTTATCGATAATCGATTGCTATTGAGTTAACGATTATTGATCTCCATTATCTATATCGACAGTCAGGTCTGGTGTACAATGACTTAGCCTATAGCAATGGCACTCAATGTAGCAGACCGCCTCCGTGGTGTAGTGGTTATAGCGTCTGCCCGGAGAGCGGAAGGTCGCGGGTTCGATCCCCGACCGCGTCATACCAAAAGACGTTTAACTATGGTACTTGTTGGTCCCTGTCTGGCGCTCGGCATTAATGGGTACATCAAGGACTGGTCGGCTCGGAGTCAGTATAATATGTCTGAGTGGGGTATTCATGCTTCACTGCGGCATGGTATCTCAGTGGGCTAGCACTATAAAACCAGATTAAGTCTGGGTTAGTACAAGCAGCCGCACATACACATACACACTCATAAACGTCGTCATATGAGCGAAATATTCTCAAGCACGACGTAAAACCCAATTTCACCTCACCTCACCTACCTCAATGTCGCCTGTTTAAAGTAGCCTACAGTGAGTAGGTAGTGACATCAACATGTACAATATTAAGGGACATCTATTTCAAGTTGTACATCTGGTGTACAATGCAGTAGCAGTGTAAGTAACATACACGAATGACATGTCAATGAACATCGAAAACGCTGAATGTGTGGACAATCCACTCCAAATGTTCTGAACTTTTAAATTACTAAATGGCTGCTGTTTCGAACTGCTTAAAATTAAATAAGTGACCCCTTATAGCAAAATATATGTTTATTTTCAGACGAAGAGTCCTGACGATGAGACAGTAGTCACTACCGTCAAGCGGGAGCAGGATGAGACACACTACGCTAAAATGCGACAGCGTACATTCCGTTTCGAACTCACCCCAGGTCGTTACATCCTGGTTCCTTCCACAGGCGATCGCGAAGGAAACAGAGACTATCTGGCCCGGGTGTATTCACCATATCCACTGTCCGACTGCAGGTAACTTCACTTCAAGTTTTGAAACATTGTGTTTCGCATATTGCAGATGGCTTCCATAATCCACCCCGACCCATTCCACCTCCCTTTGTATGTATCACTTCTGATTGTCACTCCACCAGTGAAGGTCCGGGTTAGAATATTGATCTTCAGTAACCCATGCTTGTCGTAAGAGGAGACTAACGGGATCGGGTGGCCAGGTTGCTGATTTGGTCGACACATGTCATTGATTCCCAATTGCGCAGATCGATGGTCATGCTGTTGATCACTGGATTGTCTGGTCCAGACTCGATTATTTACAGACCGCCGCCATATAGCTGGAATATTCCTCGATGCGGCGTAAAACTAAACTCACTCACTCAATCACTCACGTTGTATAAATGCCTTTATGATTTCAAGTTGTATACAGTGGACTCTGTATAATCCCACATCTGAATTATCCGACAATCTGTGAATTCCGACATATTTTTAGGGTCCCAGCAGCGTTCTCCTATATTATCATCATTTAAATATTGAATTATCCGTGATCTGTACATTCCGAAGGATGTTTATGTCAAGCATAGGATGAATGGGCTGTGAAAAGGGATCTATTAATTTATTTAATCAAACATCAAAGAGTGATAATGATTCTGATAGTAGTACATGTTTGTATATTGTACTGAAGATAATAAATCCAATGATATACACAATATACTTTTAGGACTGTATTCAAGGCTTGCTTCTAACTTATTTTCAGGACGCCTTTTTGTTAATAACCCATTCAAAAACATGTCGTCACTTACCAGTGATGTACATTATATTACTTTTTTTCAGACAGTTTTGCTCAAATCTACGTCTCCGATCATTATCGATAATCGATTTCTATTGAGTTAACAATTATCGATCTCCATTATCTATATCGACAGTCAGGTCTGGTGTACAATGACTGAGACAAAAGCATGCACTCAGTGTCGCCTGTACATGTAAATAAAGACTTTGTTTTTTTCCTTTTTTACCAAGAAAATACCTATTAAGCATTAGTTTCATGGTATAAATGTAACTGTAAATGCCTTATAAATGTAACGTAGTATAAAAACACTTTACTCGCCCTCATGGATTGTCTAGATAACGAAACTCTTTGCTTCACGTTGTATTGCTGATCTGATGACGTTGTATTGTATTCAAGATTGAGCAAATTAAGTGACGACCAAAGGAAACTCGACAAACTTGTGTTCAAAAACACAAACAACAGATACAAGAAGTAAAATGTATTGCAAATGTCTCAACGAAATTCACATAAATCAAGACATTCATATAACGACCGATACTGGCATGGCGCTAGCCGGGATTGATGTAGGGTGGCAGAAATATGCTTTCAACGTAACGAAAAATGACTACACACATCTAAAAATGGCTCCGGTTCATTGACACATTAATAGCTCCTGATCAGACACGCAATGAACCAAGAAAAGTCAGTCTTCTGAAAACGTCACATGGGATACGTGAAAAATCCTCTTGGAGGACCTGGATCAGTTCTTGTCGGTTAGCTGGAAGATGTTATTTACTGTCGCACGCGACTATCCATACCATCCCAAACGTATTTCAAAAGGGACACATTTGTGTAGCGCAGGCCAAGGCAAGACCTTGACATTGTGGGCTGCAAGGAAGCTCGGGCTGTGTGGGATCTGGGGTTGTGATGCGGATGAAATTGTTCTAGGAACGGTAAGAGGATTGGATGAAGAATGTCTCCCATGTAACCCTGTAGGATGACAAGCTATGCTCTCATCTGCCCACAAATTCCTCCTCCCACCACAACAGCCCCTCTACCACATACCACGACCTCGTATACGCACCATGCCGCCATTTGTTGTCCCTTTCGGTGTTAAACACGCGGTCTTTGTCAGCTCAGAATCGCATTTCATCAGTGTAGACGATCCTCTGCCAGTTACGTCGTTGCCAGTCTCTGCCGACGTGCTATCTATAGCTGTAATCCCTGAGTCCTAAGTCTCCTGGTCACTGTCTGTCGCCTTACCATATGCCCAAAGCCATTTGCCGCTTATGACGAAACTGTAAGGAAGAATTCCGGAGATCAGAAAATACACCAATCTGATGTCTACCCTGTCTGTCTGTGACCTATCGTCAGGTTAGTTACAACAACACTGGATAATCCGGCAGTTCCATCAATGTTGGCATGGGCGCCTCTGGGTGTCAGTCGTGTGTTTTGTTCAGAATGAGAGTCCCATGTCTTCGGTATAACATAACTTTTACGCAGTTTCTACAAGCAAAAGCACAGTGAATGTGTATCACTAACAGCGTAGAGTATTGTTGTATTTGGACGATACGGTTTGCATTGATTTATTTTGAACTTGTTCTTAAATTTCCTCAGTTTGGTAGTAGTTCCTTTGGTCGTCAGTTAATTCTGTAGAAATCCTTCGTAAAAAATATCTGGCAGCCAGTTCACATTCTATTGGTAATGTGTTTTTTTCTCAAAAGATCACTCGAAATTTTGGTACCTGTCACATATAGTGTTTTTCAGGGTATTTGAAACCACATTTGCTCGACAGGTTCCTCGTTCCAACCGAAGACACGACACATAGTCATGTGTCGTATTCTAAGTGAAGTTTTCTATTTAGATGCCGACCTACTGCTGGATTGTCCTGATCATATGTGTAGACTGTAACTAGCAATAATACACACAATAATACACATGTGTACATGACGCGCTTGTAAATACAAAACGTTATGGGGCAGTAGGGTAGGTTTGATGGGGTAATTGGGTTCTCTCGTCACGCCGAAAGGTACGTACTAGATTCCAAACAATGTTTTATTCTTTCAGCCAAGTAGCAGACAACACAGACATAGTCTTGGAGCAGTAACGGCGTCAATACTCCCGGAGCAACACGGATCCCATGACAGATGGATGATGCCAAATGTGGCAGTGTCCATATCTTACGTGACTTAGAGAGTGAGTGAGTTAGTGCACTTTGACGCCGCTTTGAACCGAATCCAAGGTATATCACGTCTTGTCAGGGTACGTTGGCCAGCTCGACGTGATGCTGGTCTTAAACGTGTACTACTTTACTTAAGCCCACAAGCACGGGCGTGGTGCTGAAGAACCGAATAGGGACTAAAACCCATGTTCCTAGTTTTCTGGTGTGCTCAGGGGACAACAGGAAATCCAGCAGATTAATATGGCATAATGACTCTATAAGGATGTCACGGAAGAAACAACTTGATTTTATAACAATAGATTTTAACAAGGAAGATAATTTTTATGAATGTCAACTTCTTCATTACGAGGAACACAACGTTACGGACTCTTTTCCTCATATTTGTCTTCTTCATGCCATTCAAAGACCTAATAGATTTTCAATACATAATACAGAAATATAAGTTTCCCGAATAATACCTAAGCATGATGATCAGAGGGTGTCCTGAGAAGAAAATGTTTTGCGAAAAACAAAATTCTTCACTTCCTCCTTTCAAAGATAAAAACAAACTCTTTGTATGACATTTACATATATGAGTATAGATGCTAATGCTTATTGAAACTGTAGCGATGTTTCCGTTTACATTTTAATACCAATCTCAATAAATGTATACACAAAGTGGACAAGTAAGCAACCATGTAAAGGATACATTTGCAGTATGGGCAATATCTCACCTGTCTATACAACTTGCATCAAGCAGCTGGATCCCTTCAAATACATTCTGGGGCGTTGGCGTAGCCTAATAGTTAAAGCGGCTACTCGTCACGCTGAAGACCGGGGTTCCATTCTCCACATGGGTACAATGTAGGAAGCCCATTTCTGGTGTCCTCCGCCGTGATATTGCAGGGATTTTTCTTAAGGCTGCATACTAACTCACTCATACAATCAAATTCATCCTGTATGTGTACTTATACGTGTTCCATAGCTACACCGTAGTGTAAGATATGACCAAGAAGTATTCAGTATAGATTTTTACTTACAATGTTACAGTCAGAATTAGGCCTAGGAGCGTTTTGTTTCTGACATGAACAGTGATGTCATGCAGATATGACATTTAGCAGGTTAATCCACCTTCTTTACATATTTCTTAATGCTTCAATGCTTCAATGTTTTATGCTTAATATTCTTTTACTAAGATGGATGCAAGAGGTACGTTTTGGGGGTCTTTAATTCGAATCTTCTTGTCCAACAGAGTTTTTGGCCTCTGATCCTGTCACCTTTGGAAAATAACTTATTTTTCCTTTAACCAAGATGGCCTCCCCGTGGCCATGTTGAGATTCTAATATTTGATCCACTGAACAGCCCCTTCATTGTCGGAGACATTACAGTAACAAAACGTTTTTGGACGACACTGAGCAAATTTCGACAACTTAACGGAGTTTTAGAGCTGAAACTGTGATCACCTTAAAAGAAAGTATGCTGCATACATGTGTACTACCAATCAGTCATCTGGCTGCATGTATTTTACTTGCATGGATTAGCTCCATCTTAAAGTATGACTTATGCTTGATATGTTTGTGTAGTATACATTTTAGTTTATCTCAGCTTTAATCGTACAAAAGGCTGCGCTTCCTTCACCATTGGTTGTTGTTATCCAACTCATACTGCAAAGCTAGAATCGACAAAAGCAGTTTCATAAGAACGAAATATTAATCATAAGAAACAAGAGTCCATTTTACAATTCCGACTGTATAATCCCTATTTGAACGTATTTCAGAATCTATTTAAAAATTGTGAAGCCAGGTATTTACAAAGACATAAGCGTATCTTGGCCCAGCAGTGGCGACCTTTACAAACATATGCAAAGGCAAGACCAATATACAACTAAAACAAGCTACAAATCAAACTAGGATTACCCTATCTGACATAGCTACATATGCTCCACATGTCCTTCATAAGTGTTTTCATGCTTTGGTGAGCATTCATTGCTTTATGCTGATAACAGAACTAATTTAGAGTTATAACTCCGGGTTAGAATTGGTCTTTAGCAGCCATGCTTGTCGTAAAAGGCTACTAACGTGATCAGTTGGTCAGGCTCGCTGACTGGGTTGACACATGTCACCATGTCCCCATTGCGTAGATCGATGCTCATGCTGTTGATCACTGGAACATTTGGTCCACATTCGATTATTTTCAGACCGCCGCCATAGAGCTGGAATATTGCTGAGTGCGAAGTAAAGTAACAAACAACCAACCAACTTTCATTGTTACGTTTTAAACTCCATTCCTATTAAAAATTCCCCACTTGTTGAATGAGCAATTGCAATATTCATGTTAAAGTGTAATGCGTGTGACTTTGTAATACTTGCTGTAGATATTCACATTGTCTAATACCCAACTGCTTGTGTGCGGATGACAACAAGCAGGGTGTGTCACTCGGAGGAAACGCCGTGAGACCGGACATGACCGTGTTATTCCTCGTCGTGTATATTTGTATCTACTGTGTATTAAAATCTACTGCTGTGATGCTGATGTTTCCATTAATTATTTTTAGAGCCCATCCAGTGAGTCACGTATGACGAAACATGACAGACAATGAATGCGGGACTGTTTCATGAACATTGTTGATTTATTCTCTGAATATACGTTTGAAAGTCGAGTTTGGACTAGAAGTCCAGAATTGAGCAACTATATATACATGCTTATATGCTTAAAGCAAATACCCAAGATAATAATTATAGAAACCTGCCCATCCTAAACACACAAAGTAAAATATCCTATAAAACATCAATCATTGGGAAAGAGGACACTTTAAGAAACTAATGCTATTCAAAGACATATGCCAGCCATTCGCAGAGACCAATGCCAACTTAAAATTGTAAAATGTCATTTATGTGTCAGTTTACAAGAAATAAAAAAAATCATTTTAATCATCGAGAGATACACAACTATAAACCACTGAAACTTGAACAGCTTGTATTTAATTGATCAAATTCATTCGAAATAAATTTCATCCAAATGGTTTAATTAGCACTGCTATAAGCATAACATTTTATGCATGTTATGGGAAATAATATATTCAATAATTATGAGAGGCACACTATCACAATGAGGGTAATACATTTGTCTATAGTTTTCAAACCGACCCACGAGGGTTGATGGTTATAATGATTTCGTATAGCAGAAACGATGTAGTTAAAAATGCAATCTAAGCATTTTGAATGAATATCCAAAATTGACATCAACATTGAAGAACAAAATTAATGGGTCAGACAGGACTAAAATGGCATTTTATAGTTTTCCCCACATACTTTCATGTTCATTTCAGGAAAGAATGGGGAGCGCTTAGTGATGGACTCGCATACCACGGATTCTAACGTAAGTAATAAATTTAACAGTGGTAGCCTTCTTATATATTACCTGTCACCGAGGTGACCACGAAGACAGCACCTTTATATTTTTAATTATATATTTTTTGACAGTCAATTGACAATACTGTGTACTGGTGTTTGGAGGCTACTAAGGGTAACGTTATATTCTTAAAAGGAAATTGAGTGGTGAATGTGGACATAATGTCCTTTAAGAATATTTATCTGGGATATAACTGACCCGATTTATACCAAAGGCGATCAGAGGTGATGACAGTTTTGTGAGCTTAACAAGTGATATAAACTGTAATAGAAATTATAATTAACAAATTATATATTCCATTTTAGAGTTAGCTTCCTCTCTATACATTTATCATTTCTGTTGAAGGCATTTTTAGAAGAATGCCTCTATCAATACCTGCGATCAATATTTAGGAATGTTTCACTTCAACTGATGATTAACAATATAGACAAAGGAAGAAACCACAGGCTGAACATTTCTAATTCAAATATTGAGGAAGTGTGTTTTATAGAAGGGAAATACATAGAAGTAAGTGCTCGGTATCGGCCCCTGGTGCTCCTGTCTCTTGAAACACTTCAAATTATATGAAGTATGACATATCGATGCTATCACTGAAGCCGACTTGGACAATGAAAAGATATCTGCTACGTTAACAAAAACTAATTTGATGCGTCGCTTATACTGTAACCAACTCCTTATCTGAAATGTAGCTTATTATCTTTGATGTGTACGGTCCATCACTACTTACTAGGGATGTACTCACTGACACTCCTCTAATACTTGTCTCGCATTGAGACAACGGGACAGGGTGAGAAATCAATTCGTACAAGGAGGAATCCCTTGCTGGTTCCATGCTTTCTTGGAAGCGACGGAGAATGTACGTCCCAGGTGACAGGTTATAGCCATGGAAACACGCTGGAGTTCAGCAGACAGTCGTGGCTTTCCCTCAATGTCTGGAATACCGTGTACGATCGTCCCCTGCAATGGAGCGATGGTTTCGACAATGAAATACACTTTAACATCATGTGTGCTGCATGAACAATTCCTGTAATACAAACAGTTAATGATCATTAAGTGTGAAATATAAACTGATCAGACTATTGAGTTTTA